GTTTCGGAGAAGTCCGTCTTTACTTGTATGAAGGAACTCATATTCAAAAATTTACAAGAAAATGATATCTCGCACTGGGAGGAAAAACTTGAGTCAAGGCATTTGGTACTCATCCGAAAAATGATGAGCAATCAATTGACAACAAAGTTATTTATTCGATCAAATCAATTAGTTTTTAAATTGAAGTCTCTTGCGTTTGACAAAAGTAAACTTCTGAGCAATTCCATTTTCATTATCATTACATGATCATGATGTCTGGAACAAATGCATAATTTATGGACAGAAGTGTTTTCTTTCGTAAAGTAGAATATCATTGCCTTCTGAATTTTGGAATCATGCTTCCCGAAATACTCCTCATCTTATGGACAAGTACTAAAGCCTTCGGCTAAAGATTTTTTCTCTATGTACGAAATATCGTTTTGTTGGAAATTTTTTAGTAAGTGTTTCTTAATACAACTAAAAATGCATTTCTGAAAAAGCTTAAAAATGAAATTTGGTGTCATTGCTCAATGCCAATATAACACAAATTCATCATTTCAATCTTGATTTTCAACCGAATCACAGGAAAAAGAAATTTTCTTCATGTAAGATGTAAGACTATAGGTTCAATGTTCTGTTCTCAAAAGAACTTTCAGTAATCGAATTCCACGACTAGAACTCCAACGTCCTATGAAGAACCTGGTATCCAATTAACAATTGATTAATGATGATAATTACATTTTTTATTGTTAATTAAAAAATCATGGGCATCAATATTCGTAGGGAAGCGGTAAACTAGTTATCAACTGAAATCTAAGAATTGAAGGACGATTGTGATATTTTTGCACGTGCATCTTTTATGGAGACAAGATTAAAAGGACAAACAAGGTATGATGAAAAAATCACTATCTGTCTTGAAGCTTAAGATATTTACTGAAGCCGGACTGCGAAAAAATTCATTTATCCTCGTTTACCACTTCACAACTTCACGGAAATTAATGATTGGAAACCAGATATGAAGGATCTTATACAAAAAGAAATCGATTGCTCTTTTCTTGGATGAAACAATTGAGATTTTTTCAAGTTGAGGAAAGAAAGTGTTGTTTGATTATTTAATTCAATTAATTAAATAATTGAAGAAATTGTGAAGTCC